GAAGGCGTTCTTCCTCGTAAATTGAGGTTTACCGCCATCGAAAGAAAAGCCGCGTTCTTTCAAAATAATTTCGAAAGAACGCGGCTTGAGTCTGGACGCAGGGGAAGTTTTTTCGGGAAAAGGCTACTTTTCCCGAAAAAACCCCTGAGTCTGGACATGGCCTAAGTGTTTCTGAATTGTCAAAATGGGTCCCCATCTGGAAAAGGTTGGGAACTGCTGAACTAGAGCCTCAGAACTGCTGCTCAGCTGCTGCCTAACCCTATGTAAGTCCCCTATGAACTTTGGATTTTGCCTAGGACCAACTGGCTAATCAGCAGTTCATTACAGTGGATGAGAAGCGGGATGTGAGTCAACAGTGTGATCTTATAGTCTAGAAGGCTAATGGCATATTAGGGTGCATTAGGAGAAGCATTCCCATCAAATGTAGAAAAGTTATTATTCCCCTTTATTTGGCTCTGGCAAGGCCACATCTGGAGTATTGTGTCCAGTTGTGGGCCCCCCACTATAGAAAGGATGTGGACACACTGGAGAGGGTCCAGCGGAGGGTAACCAAGATGATTAGGGAGCTGGAGCACATGACCTACGAGGAGAGGCTGAGGGATTTGGGCTTATTTAGTCTGCAGAAGAGCGAGGGGGGATTTGACAGCAGCCTTCAACTTCCTAAAGGAAGGTTCCAGAGAAGATGGAGTGAGGCTGTTCTCAGTGGCAACAGATGGCAGAACAAGGGGCAATGGTCTCAAGTTACAGTGGGGAAGGTCTACATTGGATATTAGGAAAAACTATTTCACTAGGAGGCTGGTGAAGTACTAGAATGGATTACCTAGGGAGGTGGTGGAATCTCCATCCCTAGAGGTTTTTAAGTCCCAGCCTGAAAAAGTCCTGGCTGGGATGATTTAGTTGGGTTGGTTCTGCTTTGGGCAGAGGGCTGGACTCAATGACCTCCTGGGGTCTCTTCCAGCCCTAGGCGTCTATGATTCTAAATGTGGAAAAACTGCTACATCTTCCCTTAATGTGATGAAAACATTGAGATACTATATCAACACAATGTGTACTCAGGTACTATGATGAAACTAATCACTGTGTTACTCAAAATAGAGTTTTAAGTGGTACATAAACCTTGCAATATTCCTCTGCATGAGGGTATATTTTCTGCATAGCAAACGGGTCTGTTTTTATACAAAAAACAAATATTCACTTATCCTCATATATGTTTGTTTTTAAGACATTTAGGCAGAAATAAAGTCCTTTTCTATGTTGTTTTACATCCTAATAAAGAATCTGGATTTTACTTGTGAGGAAAGAAGAGTGTTGTGAATACTCAAAATAAGGAGAACAAACTTTAAGATGGAATAATTTTTCAAAGGAACAGTTACAGTTATTGCAATTTTTTTTTTTTGCAAATAATAATTATCCCTGTTCGTGGCTCTACAAAGTACAGCTATTACACTGTTTACAGAAAACAAACAGAACAGGAATGAAATAATTTGTTAAAGAGATACTGTAATTGCCTGATCTAATATCAACTGAAGTCAACAGAGTCACTCCATTGATTTAACAGACTGGCTCAGGCCCCAAATCACATCACCACAAGAAAATCTGGAGCAGTGTCATCTAGTCTGCAATGTGAAATCAAGGAACATTGTAAAGTTTTATTTCGAAATTATCTTGATCAGAACATTTTACAAAGGGTCTATGTCAGGGTTCCCAAACTTTTTGACATGGGGATCAGTAAATCCATTCACGAGCTTTTGGAAGACCAGTAACATTCATTTGCATATTTATTAAGCAAATGATGAATATTCAAATAAGTTGTTTCTGGTCCTCCCAAAGCCCCCAGTGCCAGCGTTAGCAAAGCTTTTGATACAGTCACCCATTATATTCTTGCCAGTAAGTTAAGTGAATATGGATTGGATAAATGAACTGTAAGATGGATAGAAAGCTGGCTAGATCAGGGTTTCGCAAACTTTTTACTTTAGTTGGAACCCGTTTTTTTTTTCAGTACTGTTTTTTGCAGCCCAAATATATAAACGCATATAAAAAAGAATGAAAAATGAATACATTTTCAGTGTTTCACCCGGCGGCATCCTCCGCCCAGGCTGGGCTAGGGCTTGGGAGACCGGGCGCTGTATGGGCACTACAGGAGGCGGGGGCAGGAGCAGACTGGGGGTAGGGTATCTGGCTAGGAGGGAGGGTACAAGGAAGGGTAGGGTTGCTAGGTGTCCGGTTTTGCACCGGACAATCCGGTATTTGAGGGTTTTGTCCGGGAAACAAATTGAGAAATTACCAGACATATAAAATGCCTGGTATTTTCTAATTAGGTATATTTTATTCTAATGAGATGTATCAGTCCATAGCTGCAAACTGCCTGGCTGGTAGATGTGCTCATGCTTCCTGAGTGTGTCTACCTGCCAGGCAATTCGCAACTACTCGGGGGGGACGGGGGACATGGAATCGTGTGCCTGGGTCTGCATGGGCCCGAGTCAGTCCCGCTCCCCCCCCATCCTCCCGATCTCCCCAGGCCAGCCCGCTGC